CCCCCGTCTCCAGGAAAACATCAACATCGACGAAGCAGCGAACTGCCTGGTGAAACACATCATCGCCAGCGAGAAAGACCTGCTCCAATCAGAAGTCCCCGACACCATCACCCCGCAGTTAGAGAAAGATAAAGGCGGGACTTGCTCGTCCTGCTTCAGATCCCAGTAACAGCTCCTGACAACTGGATCCTCTTTTGTATCTCATTTACACACTAAGTCGAGTTTGTCTGTGAGCAAGAGGCAGAGGAGGAACTGCTTTGGCTTGTTGTGAGGAAGGAGGAAGGTATGGGTGCCAACTTGTCTCCACTCTGGTCACCCGGGGTGCGTGTGTTCATATGTGAGGGGGGTTGACAAAGAGGCAGCTGGTCTAAGAATTGGATGGATTGAGTTAGAGAGAAAGAAAGAAAAGTAGGTGGATGCAGCTGTGTGCGCTTGTGAAAAGACAGGGTCACGCTCTGGGCGACTTCAAACCTTGACACTGCCACTTTGGTTACCATAGACACACATGTTACGTAACACATGCGCAGAGAGATTGCTGAAAATCACAGTACATCTGTTGTAAAGTTCAATGGAAGTAATCTCCATTTATAAACCGTGGTAGTCTCCTCTTTTTTTCACCCCTCCTTCTCCATCCTCCATCTCCACTCTTTCATTCAGACACAAACAAATGTTCTTTCATCAGAATGATCTGAAGCAGTTCAGCCTCGGTCCTGATAACATTACAGTTATTTCACATTGTTTCCTTAGAAGTGGCTTCGATTTATTTTACATGGTCATTTTTATGGCTCTGTCCTCTGGGGCCAGTCCTGTTTTCTGTTGTCCATCTTTTTGGAATGTACTGGCGTCTTCACTAATGTAATGTACAGCAGATTATACTGATGTAATTAAAGTGCCTTATCTGATGCTGCCCTTTTTATTTAATGCCTTCAACAGATATATTCACTACATATTTAATTTATATGTGTACTTATGAAGGTATATGTATGATGACTTTCATCACTGATGTAGAATCCAAATAATTACCATGGCAACAACTTGTATGACAAACTAAAGAAAAAAAAAACATGTTTGTTCTGTCAATTTTAGTTAAAATTGTTTTATATCAAATTTCTATTCCACTGTTCAATATTTGTAATATTTGTAATTATGTCACAAATGCAGATATATATACAAACATGTACATATTATATACATTATAATGAGGCAGGTTATAGAACCAATGATGTATCCAGTTTTCAACATGTTCATATGAATAAACCACAGCTTTACTGACCTACAGTTTGCATGTGATTTATTTTCAATTAGTCTGACTGATGAGACCTCTAGTGGTATTTAAGTTGGGGGGGGTTACACTGAGGATTAAGTGACCTTAGCAAACTGGTTAAAGTGACCATGGTTATTAGAGAGTGGTGGAGCTGTTGTTTAAAGAGCACAGTCCTGTGTGCAGGTCCGAGAGAACATTTGTGTAAGAATCCACCCTTAGTCTTTACATTTAATCATTTTCTGTTGGACGTTAGGGGATCTTTGTTGTCATGGCTACAATAAACAGGGTTAAGGTTGTGGAATAAAAAATGTCTTCACTGTTTTGACATTTCCTCACTCTCTAGTGCTTTGTTTTTTGTTGATCCATCCAGTGTCTTTTACTGACTTGTACTTGTACTGAATTCTTTGAATGCACCCATCATAATAACCACAACCGCTAGAGGTTGTCTAACAATGAAATGACAATGGGCCATATGCTGCTATACAGACAACCCACAGAGTGTTTGCTGTTGTTGTTACAGAACAGTCCTGAACAATAGTCTCTTAGTTGAAGTCTCTCTTTTTACTGTCCTGGCTAAATGAACAACCCAACAACCTTGTTGCTGTTCATAAAGAACGATGTCACAAACAATGAACTCAAAGCTACATCTTCTTAGCTGGATCTCCATGATGAAGAAATTAGTTATTTTTAGAAAACGGTTGCTCTTTTTGATTCAGGGGTTTAGTCTAAGCAGGACTTATTCTAATCATGTCATTTTAACTCTCTTATAGCACTGAACTATAGAATGTAGGCCACTCTCCATTGTGTCTTTTTTTTTTATTCAATCTTCTTGAGAACCTGAGAACAAGACATTTTTTACTGTTGTTTTTCTTCGCTCTGCTACTGTGCTGAAAATCCAATTTTAGTGAGGAAAAAGTCCAGATTCCAGTTTCACAGCTCGTGTTCGTTGATATTTTTCCCCTCAGTGACCTGCTGCTGACCTGCCATGTGACTGCAACCACGCAGCACATGCACAAGACTGTGTCGTCTAAACCTTCATACCTACATTCTTCTGTAGAGCTGAAGTAGGGTTATGGTTAGAGGGTATGAAGGTCACCACATACTGCACCTACAGATAATGAGATAATTTCTTTAAGACTAATTTAGCTTCCAGAGCGGATCTTGAAAAGGAAAAGCTGGATTTCAGATTGAACAACTTTAATCTCCATTCATTAATTAATAAACTCCAATGTCTGTGATAGAATAAACACAATCACAAAGAACACCCTTGGATCAGATCAAATAAGGTTGATTTTCCTCGTTATGCTTCTAAAGCACAGTCTCCAAATTTGATTAAGGTGTTATTCAATCTATGATTTCTCTATATTGTCTGTACCAAAACATTGCTGTCCTGTTAATCCACCTTTTTCAGTGGTTTGCGTTCACTCCTCCTCTTCTTTTCTCCTGCCTCAGACAGCCATTCGGTCTAATTATCGCCCTGTAAAGACATCATCTTGTGCCTTGTTTAACACTGTGGTTTGTTTCCGTCCCTGAGAGACAAAGACACAATCTATAGTGCAGCAGAGACTCTAATGGATATTGGTTTATAGAGGAAGGGCACGCACTGGAGAAAGATGATGTTACTCTGTAATTAGTAATAATTGGATCTGATTTTCAGCATCAATGCAGCAATTTCAGAGAGAAAACACAGGGCAGGGGGAGTGGAGAGGTTATGTGTTTGTGTGTGTGTGTGTGTGTGAGTTTGTGTCTGGGGCAGACCCGCTTTACCACTGTATACCCACACAGGCACCCTCCCCTCTCTCACACACACATGGATGATCAGAGGATTTCACAGATTTATCTCTCGCTCTCTGCTGGTCTCTAAGGCAACAAGCTGCAGAGAGAGCAATAGTTTAATTTCTCTTTACTTACAGGTCCTATCCTTGTAGTTCTCCTTGATTCCCTTTCCTATGCAACAAAGAGAGAAGGGAAAGGAGAGAGACAGAAAGAGAGAGAGAGAGAAGGAAAGAGTGAGTGAGAGAGAGAGGAACCGTAGCAAGAGACTATAATCACAAGACTTCTCAGTCATACAGGATAAGGAGAATATAAGCTGCACGTGATTTCAGGATGACTTAAAGTCACGCACACATACACTCTCACACACACTAATTGCCCATGCCTTACCCGTCAGTCCGATCACGGTAACTGTTCACACTAAATTGTGTTAAATGTTTGCAAATACCTTCAACTGGAGTCAGTTTCTTCAAACCATCTTAGAGAAACAAGAAGAAACCCATTCGTGATTATTTACGATCCTTTGGAGGTCCTATAACACACAGACAGCTCCTGGAAATTCAGCTGCATTTGTAAAAAAAGTGAAAAATTGCCCTAAAGAGAAAAAGAATATATATCTTTCAGCGGAGATACATGAAAATAAAAGATAACATTTTATTGGAGAGGCAATAAAACAGCCACAGAGCAAACACAGGCACTGAGCTCAGATGTAGTGCTGCTATATATTGAGAGAGGAGTTGGAAGTGAAGGCTGTGGCAGGCGCACTCTGGCAGTGAATTAAACACACAAAGTACAAGAGAATTGAAGGCAGGGCCTAGGGAAGGCTGTGGATGAATGAAAGTAGTGACTAAACCTCCATATTTGATCGATATGCAGAACTGAGTTTTTCCATGTCAGGTTTGAAAAAAAGCTGCAGTAGTTTGTCCAGAACAGAGATGTATTGAGTAAGGCTCGAGGCCCTAACACAACCAAGGCAGAGAGAAAATTAGCTGAACTGGAGCTGAACCCGTTTTCTCCGATTACAGGCATGAGCAGCTTAAAAAATCATGTCGAAAAGGCCGCCAACATGATCGAACTCTACCCAAACCTGAATATCATTGGAAAAGTTGTGTCCAAACAAAAGGGGAAGATCCTCAGGACATAAATAGAGTTCATGCGAGCAGAAGGAGGTTGTCAAGTACAGCTGATAGTTTCACATTATTCAGCATGCAAATATGTCTAGTTCCCTCTGTCTTGGAACATCTTTCCACACTCCAGGCACATTCAGATGTCATAGCATCACACAAAGAAACGAATGCTTCACTTGAAGAACCACTGTCTGACTAATGAGGTGAGTGTTTGACTTTCAGAGGGCAGAGGCACTCCTCAAGTGTTCTTTCTAAATTTCATCTTTTTAGCTTTTACCTTGTGCACAAATAAACTTGCCTGCATAACAGTGTCTCTGTCAGAAAGTGAATGTTAACCTTACCCAAGTGCATTTGTTTATGGCTCATCCAGTTTACTTCATGTTTGCAGTTTTAATGGTGCTCAACATCGGCCTTTGTCAACATTGCACATCCCTCAAAACACAGCATCAAAAACATGATGCTTTGTGTATTCCTCATTGAAAGTGCAACACACTGCTTCTAATTTCCTTTTCCTAGCAGCCACCATGATGATGCGGTGACACGTCATCCACGTATGTCTATTATTCAATTTACATTTATTGCAGAAACAAATAATTGCTGTCACGAGAATGTCTTTATATATCTGAGTTGCTTATGAGATGTATAGGCTGGATGACATTGTCTAATGGAGGCTGGAGGTTCCCCACCCCTGCCTTAGAGAATAATAATCTGTGTAGCAATTAGCCCCACTTCATTTTACAGTGGTGATGCTGAAAGACTGAAAATTTGAAATGAATCAAGTAATTAAGGAGGATGTGGAAGCACGCAGGGGTGAAAATGGTGGTAGAAATGCAGTTCTATTCTTGTAGTCATTCAACAGGCTTACTTTTCTGTTACACCCGTCGTATATCTGTCAAAAAGCCTTTTTGTCTAGATCACAAGATGAGCTCATACTGCATGAACTAAAGAGGGACACAGTCTATATCTACTCCCACACTGTACCTGTAACAAGCTCTAGATGAGCCAAAGAACAGGACGTTATGTCTTCTGTTTGTTACTACATGAAGGTAGAGACGTGTGAGGACGACCACATCGGCTCGTTCTCCTCTAAGAGTAGCCATGTCCTATGTCCTATAGAATATTACTGATGAAGAAAGACAAGCGGTGTATCGTCTTAGTTTAATTTGATTTACACTGTCAGGGAAAAGAAACACTCTAAAGTCAAATGGAAACGTGTGTTTTTTCTAAACCTATGAAAGATAAAAAACAGCTCTTAGATCTTCAAACCTTTACAAGCCCACAAGAACTGCCTCTTCTTGTTTTAACAGTAAACAATCATAGAGAAAGGATATGAACGCAGTCATCTATTATTGCAACAAAAGACTGAGACGTGAACTTCAGTGGAATGTTGGTGTATGGTTTTGTTTTGACCCATGTTAGAGTTTATTTTCTACAAATTTAGACATCAGACAAAATCTTCAATTTTCTGTTAACAAGCTGCTTCTAGTTTTCATTGGAGAAATAGAGAAAGACATGGATACTCCTGGTTACTAATGTGAAGGTACTGTACATGCCTGACATTTCAGGATGTTTTGTTGCCTTCCACCCAGTGCATGCTGGGAGAGGCCCAGCCCTCCAGCATGGAGGAAAATCATATTTGAATAATAAATGTTTGAGCATTCAAGGTCTTTTTTTTTTTCTCATCCAAACATGTATCTAGTGGAGTGACAGCATGGGAAGGAGGTAAAGTATTTTCACATTATTCCAGATCATCAAAACACTAGAAAGTGTTCAGACTGTGTTAGATAACACTAAAATTAAACAGAGCACACAGGAGGCAATATGCATGTGCGTTAATAAGTATGTCATGTCTTCATATCTGACACAGGGATATTTTTCTGTCATTACACAGATTCTGTATCAGTTTGGTTCTACAGGATTTGATACCTTGGCCACAGTTTTTATATCGATGACAACATGGATGGCTCTGCTTCCCTGACTGTCCCAGATCAGCACCCTGGACAGTGGCCGTGACCCACTGGTGCAGAATGTTAACAATGGGGCTCTGGGTTTCCAGCATTAC